GGAACATCCGAGAAGAGTCGGTGACGCTTCTTTCCTTCTTGCATACTCGTGACTGAGGAGTGGTTGATGTCCAGACGTATTGTCCCGGGGTCCATTGCGATATCTGTTCGATGCGTTGGCTCCAACGTCAACTGATCCCAGACCTGTACTTTGTCAATATCATCCCCAAACAAGAGCGAGTATACTTACTGGCGCATCAAGAACCGCATTTGCGAGGTCTTGCAACTGCTTGTCAGGCAAAAGCTCATTACGTAGACTGAGCGTCATGTCAATGTGCATGTCATGTCCACGGCTCACCCATACAGCACCCGACGTCAACGCGTCTAGATATTCGGCTGATGTTAGCTGCTGGAGGTAAGTTGCATCCTGTTTTGGTGAGATGGTGATGAATGTTGTGAGCCAAAGCTCGTGATCAGTGGCAGGCGAGCTGAGCACTGCGCGCCCGAGCTCAATTGATCTCGACATTGTCGCCCAACCAGACTCCGGTCTGTGGAGGAGGCGAAGGCAGCGGCATGAGCGTTGCAGAGATTGGTGGAGCGGCGGGGTCTGAGATTGTGATGCATCGTTATCGGTGCCAAGGGATGGGTTCGGCAAGCACCCTGAGGGTTGTTGCTTCCTCACGGGCTCGCGGGTCCTGCAACCTCCACCTCGCGTCGCAACATGAGGAGCCTCACCACCAACGCGCTTCGGCGCGTCAGTCAAGCTGCATTGCCCCAAAACACCGTTTGCAGGTCTCCGGTAGCAGTCGCGGGCTCAATTGGTCGAAGACATCTCCATTGCAGCCCCTCGCGACGCACCGATGGCGTATTTCGAGAGCTCACGTCGATGCGCGTGCGCACCCCATGGATAGAAGCCTTGCACCAACAGCAGTCAGAGGGGAAACAACCTACGGAGCCTTCAGGAAAGCCCGAAGCACCCAAAGATCGCAAGCTGACGGGGAAACGTATGAGCGAGAGCTACCATTCGGTTGTACTCCCGCTGGCTCAGGACCCATGGATCCTCGACACATATCTTAACGCCTCAGGGCATATACGGCTCGGAACCATCTTCATGGATCTCGATGCTCTCTCTGGCATCATTGCGTAAGCGTTCAACAGCTACGCGTAGTAGCTGACCTGGTCTGAAAGCTGGAACAGGTACAAGCATACCGGAGACGACGTGACTACTGTTACGGCTAGCTGCGATCGCATTACCATTCACTCCCCACTGACCGAGATATGCGATCTAGAACTATCTGGCCGCGTGACCTATGCGACTGGCCGAAGCAGTTTGGAAATCACGATGCAGGTTGCCAAAGCACCTAAGAAGGGCGAGCAGGCCAAAGACGAGGATGTTTTGATCAACTGCACCTTCACCATGGTCTCTTTGGATCCTGGCACCAAGAAGTACAGCTGAATTGTAGTGGGTAAGCGTTCTGGCAGCTAACTGGTCCGCAGGCCCGTAAACGTCAATCCTCTAGTCGTTGAGACGCCCGAAGAGAAACGCCTGTATGCTTTAGGTGAGCGTAACTCGAAAGTGCGAAAGGAGCGCCGGGATACCTCTTTGCTCAAGCATACGCCGAACGACCTTGAAAGCGACCTCATACACGCCTTCTGGCAAAAGCAGTTGCAGTATCATGGTCAGTCCTATCGCTACCGCTACTCATCGCCCAACTAACAATCGTAGACCCCTACGATGACCTACGCAAACCCGATAACGTTGTCTTCATGGATGCGACGCGTCTCCAGACCGCGACAATCATGCAACCGCAATACCGCAATCGCCATCACTTCATGATCTTCGGTGGCTTCCTTCTCAAGCAAACCTTCGAGCTTGCTTTCACCGCCGCCGCAGCCTTCGCACACGCGCGCCCGACCTTCGTCTCCCTCGATCCGTCTACCTTCCAAAACCCAGTGCCTGTAGGCAGCATACTATACCTCACGGCTACAGTCGTATACACAGACCCGCCGCTAATCGGCGCGCCGGACGAAAAGGTCGACGACCAGGCCGAATACACACGAGTGCAGATTAGGATTGACTCAAAGGTGCGGGATGTGGAGCATGGCCACAGCAAGCCGACGGGGCAATTCAACTACACGTTCACGGTACCGAAGAACATTCGGGTTATGCCAAGGACCTACCAGGAGTTCATGATGTATATTGATGCAAGGAGGCGAGCTGAGCAGGTCAAGCGGACACTGGAGGAGGGATACGGTGTCAGCCCGAAGACGGCAGAGGATAGTCTGACAGAGTAAGGCCGTGATGGCATATATTACAGGCAGGAACGAGGCATAAGTCTGGGTCATTGCTATACAGCACGACGCATAATCATGTACTGTAATCGAGCTCATACGAACAGTATCCAATACATTGACCAAGCTATCCCATAATACCGAACGCCTATCCCAAGAAACCCATATCGAAAAAGGCCTAGGAGCCGGTGACCGCGCCTGCGTGCGCCGATAACCCATATCATATAACGGAGAGGTATAGCGCGTCAAACACAGGCCGAGAACGTGAAATGGGAAGTACCGCGTGGGAGTGATGCTGCATGCAGTATGCACGAGGCTGACTGCACTGGACGTGCATCAACAAGGCGGTGAGCCTCATTCGACCAATAACTCCAAACGCGCATGCGTGCCATCACAACGCTACGCGCAGTCGCCCTGCAGGACAAGTCAGCTCCATGCCATGTGCTATCGGACGTGCAATCCGGCTCCGCGCACTCCACACTTACCCTGCGTCTCGCGTGCTTTCTCCCCCGTCAGCCGAAAGGAAAGGTGAAGCGCATCCATCCAATCCACGCATCTACAGTTCATCCAACTCAAACTCCAACGCTACATCTTCCGAACAGTCTGTGCAGTAGTAATTCGAGAAGCCGCCGCATTCGATCTTCATCTTGGAGCACATGTCGATGGACCAGGCGTCGTAGGAGTAGCCTGAGAGGAGGCGCGAGGAGCAGACTTCGATGCTGTTGGCCCTGTGGGGATGTTAGTTGGGGCTTGAGGGACCGGGGATAGGGAGAAGTGGAAGGAATGGGAAAGGATGGGCGTACCAGATGTAGTAGTCGTGGTTACAGTAATACCACGAGTATGTGTATGAGCACATCTTGAATCTAACACCAGATTGTTCGCAGAAACTCGTTGGATAGTTGATGCCGTTTGGGTAAGCTTGCCGGCGGAACGATAGCTGTCTGGATAGTCTTGTTATGTGTAACGATGCTATACATATACACGTTAGCTGACCGCTTCTTCCCCTGTAGATCTCCCTTGCGTTCGTGGGTTGTCTTCCGCGGAACATGGGAGTGTGGATTCTAGACCCTGCATTGTAGTCGTGGCTCCAACGGAGCTGTATGCGGGATCTTATTGTTTACTTGGTACTCACCTTTGGGTGTGTTGCTTCTAAAAAGGAAATCCCAATTGTAGGTCTTGAAGTTGTGCTTGTGTCTTCTTGATGTCCTGTACTTCAAGTTTACTTTGATGGTGTCCAAAACAGCTTTGGTTCGGTATAAGATGGGTAAAAGGAGCTCTCGAAGGATGTCTCCGCGTCTTTATGCTCATCACTTCTGACTCTTACCAGGAGCTTGGGCCGACGGCTCATTGCAGATACGCCGATATGCTTCATGGCAGTCCCCCGGATTAGCTGATAAGACGAGGCGAGGCGGTGCTTTCCAACCAATCCAACCAACCACACGTTCGTGTCATCCAAGATGGGAAGCCGAGCCGGGGGATAGATCCATGGCCCATGCTCGAGGTTCGGCTATTCTGAGGTCGCGTGGAGAAGGCGGTGGAGGTTCAAGCATGTCAGATCGCTGTGGTTCTCAGCTCTGGACTTCCTTCTAGCATCTACATGTGGTGCTGGAGTTGATATAGTCAATGTCATGGCTAGTAGATCGCGTCGTTTGACAGCTCGAGTAAAGCATCTGACGATAGCGAGTGCAAGAGTGTGTCAAGAGACCCCAGACTTTCCTTCTCGCCGACGACCGGTTGGACCCTGCGTCTACGGGACCTGACCTGCATGCAGGGACCTCAGTCTAGCCGGATCGGTCAGCTTCACTTCTCATTGGACAAGGCAGACCGGAACGAGCAGCTGTAACGGCCTCCGGCCTCGAGATAACGATAGTAAAGCTGTTGAAGATGGATTGTATGACAGTCATGTAGTAATTTGGAAGGCTACTGAGCGTGAAGGGCAGGACTGCGATGTCTCGAATGTTCACGTGACGAAGTGCATGACTGAGACGGAAGTAGATGTAATTGGAGGTCATACGAGCCAAACTGATTGATAACAACTTTCACGCGATCTTCATCCCCTCCCGCCTGTTTGATATTCGCAAAACTACATCCAGATCGTTTCTCGTTGCGGCATCGATCAAAGGCCTCCTGCTTCGGTGAAGTCGGCGGTCTTATCGGCTAGCGTGCGATAGCCGACAATGCCTGGGGTGTCGGCATCGCCGTCTTCCAGCTTCCAAGGTTCTCCAGCATCGTGAAATGAAGTCAGCCTTGAAGATATCCAGGGCTGCGCTGCGATGCCGACACTGACCGTGTCTGTTCCCTCATCACGTGCCGAACCTGCCCCAACGCGCCCTCGATCTCAGTCTCGGTCCTCCCTTCCCAAAACCCGCCGGTCTCGCCAAGCAACATCCAGGAAAAATCGCCCCGTCTTTCTAGTCGCAGACCAGACGGGGCATCGCATCGTCATCAAATCCGGCGCCCCGATGGCTGTCGGGCCTGTCGCACCGCAATGCCGAAGGGTTTCGATGGTTTTCGACGCGTATTGCCTGTCTGGGCAATGTTGAGGTCTTGGTCTGACGGTGGTGTCGCATGTCGGGCGGCCGACCCCGAAATTTCACGGGCGTCGGCGGTGTTGGAGGGCCACCGTCGGCCGACGGTCGCGAGTTGCGGAGGCATAGGTGCGATGGATACATTATTTTCGGAGGCTTAGGCACGGTATTGCGAGCCTGTAACGCGCGATATATTTGCAAACACGCTCCAGTCGTCTCGACATCTAGTTGAGCCGCCGCATCAATCCTGGTTTGGTCGGTCTTCTGCCCACCCAACGTCACACCAAAGACCCAAGTGATCGCTGAAATGCGCTCCAGACCCCGATTCCGCTGCGTCGGCCGACATCTCTCCACCACAGGATCTCACTTCGCTTGTTTGCAGGATGCGCATAGCTGATGGGTGGAGGTTCAGCAGAGCAACTTTGTCCAACCGATTTGGTGGGAACGACTGTTCACCGTACACGCCCCAAGTATGGCCTGAATCATTCGGATGAAGCTCTGCCCACGCATCCGCGAGACCATTGTTACTGACAAGGTCATCATCTTCCGGAAGAATGCAATTGAAGTCGCCGGCGATGATCCCACGACCAGCAGCCCCGAGGTATGAAGCGCAGATGAAAACTTGACGCGGCCTCATCGACGGATTGATTGGCAGCGAATCCAGGTGGACGTTGATCAGGCGAACTCGTGTAGGCTCTTTCCCCGACGTTTGCTTGCTCGAAGAGTTGAGGATCAGATCGCAGCACAGCGCGTCGCGTCCAAAACGACTGGGAAATGCGACCCTCCAGATTGTGCCCAGCTGGATACCATCAGTGATCACCCACAGCCTGGATACCATCGTGATGCTGATGAACTTCTGGGTTCCAAAAGCAGAGTCATCAATATCGCTCATGTACCAATCTCGCTGTATCCAGGTGTCTTCAAGCAGTGCTGTAAGCTGTTCTCGTGATACCTCTTGCAGCAAGACAACGTCTGCAGCTCCGGTGGTTTTGACAACCTGCAGTAGTGCGGACATACGGGACTTTGGTAACGGCGCATCGGCGTTTACGTTCCAGCTCACGAGGCGGAATGAGCCCGCCCATTGGTGCTGAGCGCCAGGTCGAGAGGCTTTCTCACCAACGAATGGCATCCAGCGGTTTTGATCGCAGTTGTACCACTTCTGGAAGTTGGGCGTTGCGGCAGCTGCTGGCAAAGGTGTCTGTTGCCACCATGATGTGATGTGGGTGCGTATTTGCGATAGCATGGTGAAGCTGAACTCGAAGCTATAGTTGTTGAGGGAGTGGTGAAGAGGAAAGAGGCTTGGTGGCCTACAATATATTCTCATAAAGTGTGAAGAAGCTGTTGCGACATATTGGTGTTGGTTATTACGAGTTAGCGTTGATGTTCTACCAAGGTTGACTGTCCCGTGAATAGGCAGCAGCTTACGTATTATGGTACTTACTATATACCAATAGTTTTTGTGAAGTGCAGCGGTTGGCCGCTACATTAATAGCGGAGCACAACTGAGAGGTGAACGTTACAATTCTTCACGTCTACAGCGATGTTCGTGCACCTTTTCTGCACCAATTGAATTGCTCTACATACCAACACCGCTATAGATGTTCGCTAGCCTGAGCCTCTTAACGCCAGCCTCAAACTCAGATTGAACAGCTTCCTTGCCCAGCGCTTTCGTAGCGAACTCCTTGTAGTGCTCTTTCATCTCAGTCGATCAAGAAGTAGGTTTCGTTGACATCTGGAAACTTGGACGCTTCTCCTTTCATCATCCCATGAACGTAACAGCCTGCAATGAGGCGGAATTCCATGAACTTCCTGCTCCCTCGCATTACAAAAGGGACGTCGCAACCTCCAATGACGCTGATAACATCACCCACTCGAACGCCATTGGGTGCGATACCACAGTGCTTGCGTTTCGTTGTGATGAACCTCCAGCCTGCGATATTCGTTTTCAGTAGCTCTTCATACTGTCTGCCTTTTTCCTGCATCGTCATGACTCCTGTCTGTATAGAGCTGGACGTCTTGGAAATCGGTGCTCTAGACGTACGTAGGTTCAACTGTTTTGCGGATTTGAATCTAGCCTTTTTCAAGCTTTGACGAAACGCTGTGTATGAGTCTTCGATGCTCAGTTCTCCGAGTGAGAGTGCTCCTGCTATAGGAACCTGTACTTTCAGATCATGGCGATACTCTGGTAGTGACTCACTGTGCAGAGCGTTGATCATATCGTCGATCTCTGCAAAGTATTTTACCCATTGTTTTGGCCCCTGCCCATTCGAGGTCTTGCTTACTTCAATGATGTCATCGAAAATGCAGCCGTTGACCTCGAGGAAGTCTCGACCGAAGATGTCTCCCCTCACGCCCTTCGACGTGTTGATGTCTTCCTTCACGCCCTTCGACGCGTTGAATATGATGCCACGGTCGTGTAGATCAAGCAGTCTGTCTCTCGGTCTTGCAGTGAGATCTGGAAGCCACGAAGGAAATCGGGTCCTTGCTGTATCTGATCTTCCTGCAATTCCAGCTCTGCGAAGCAAGTGCGCTCCCTTGCCCTGCTTGACGAAGGTTTCGCCGTACTGAACAGCAATTGAGACAAATGGAATTGAACCATACCGAGGCGAAAAGCCGTCTTCGTCACCGTCTGATGCTAGACCTAGCAAAGCAAAGAAGTGGTCGCGCTTGAGAGTCGATTGCATGTAATGAAACTTATCCAGCAACGTGAAGAGACTGAAGCGACGTTGTCGTGTTTCCAGTTCTCGCAGGCTCGAAAGCGTAGAAAATGGCGCCCAGGAAGCTGTAATGTCATTTGGCAAGTGTGGCTTCTGTTGCACTATCTCCATGGCGAGATGGATATCCTCCCAATCTACTATCCATTTACCGCAAACAAATGTGACGGTAAGGGAAGCGACGGCTTCTTGTACAATCCAAGCTCGTCTGAACCACGTTCGGTCAAACAGAACTTTGATGTCCTGCCAAATAGGATCTTCTAAGCGTGGCTTAGACTCATGTTGCCAGGATTCTGGGACCTTCTTCAGCTCTTTGGGCCATTCCTCTGATTTGTCGAGCTTAGCCCTGATCTGTAGCAAGGTTTCAATAGCATCATCGCTGCGCCGATCTGAGCCAAGGAATGCTATAGTCCGGCTGGCTTGTTGGAAGATCTGAGGTAACAACCGTATCTGCTGTATCTTTTCGCTGTCATCAATTTGATTGATACAGATCGCATCGATCCAGAAGACTGCAGCATTTTGTTTTCCTCGCAAGGTCAGGATGGCCTTGTGAAGAGACCCCCAGATCTTCAAGACTCCACTTTCCGTAAAGACCTCTCTTTCTTTTTTCCTTTCGCCCCATTCATAAGAAAGTGCACGGAAATTCCCACCGTCTTTGATAGACGGCACGGTGAGTAACATGCCACGGATGTGTTCAGACTGCTGTCCTGGAAAGAGTAGGAATAACCGTATCTCTCCTCTCGCGAGACGAACATACTGGTAAGGAAGTTGAACATCTGATATGACTGTGGGCCATAATTTTGTTTGAGGGTTGATTCCAGTGGTGGGTAAATCGGCTGTGGTTGTGGGATGCGAATCGGAAACCATCAATGCACGACCTGTTCCCGGGGACAGTTTGTCGGAGGGGTTGAAGTCTTTGATCATGGTACGAAATTTCGTTTCTCCCGGAAAGACGAGACGATTCGATGTCATGAGCCCCCAGGGGTCCACAAATACTTCGAAGGTTGGCTTGGAATAGACGTCGCTTATGTGAAAAAGAAGCATGATGTGCCTATCAAGCAGTCCGTTACTAGACTCGAGGCGGCAGTTCTGCATCTGAGGAACAATCAGCACCCAACACAAGTCAAAGTGCGGTATGGATATTGATGCGGGTCAAGACTTACTCTCCTGAGTTGGGCCGTGCTCCATACAAACGGATCGCTTCTGTTTCCACCAGATACGGCAATCTCGATACAAAAGGAAGGATGAGGCAACGTCCGAAGCTCAGCTACGTCAAGCCCTCTTCGCAGTAGAAATTGCACCATCTCGCCTGAGACCTGCTCATCTGCAAGAGTGAATGGCGATGGATCCCACATTGGATTAAACTCCCACATTGACATTGGTTCAAACTCACTCAAACCGGCTCTCACTCGAAGTTCGCTCGTCCAATGAAACTCAGGGTAGTATGTGCCCTTCAACTCGGTCTTGAAAGTCTCAGAAAGGAGCTTTTCGCCATAGTACTCAAGGTGTCTGTTCGGATCCAAGGTCTGCATAACCAGAAATTTACCTTGCGCGTCGATGGGATTGCTAGGTTCCTCGTGTTCTACTTCCGTAAGTTTCAACAGTGGTAAACGTCGATCAGATGTTTCAGAGTCACTTCCAACTTTGTTCTTCTTGCCGCGTCGCGATCTACCAGACCGGTTTCGTGAGCGAGGATCGGATTTCCAAGCTCTTCTTGCATTATCTTCGGACTCAGAACCGTCCCCTGACTCTGAAGAAGTGGAGTAAATCCGACTAATCCCAGTTCGACGAGCATGACGTTGTTTTGTAGGGGGATATGCGCTGTCTTCTGATGTTGCGTTAGCAGGGCTACGGGAAATGGAAGCCTAGTAACAGAATGTTTCTGCCTACCTTGCTTGCTGTCGTGACCTAAATATCCAGCATCGGCGAAAGCGCTGTGAATTCTATCTGTACGGCTCTCGTTTATGGCTGCGTCAAGTAGACGTAAGCTAGTACTGTCTTTGATACCACAATGTTCGGCCATTGTATCCAGAAGGGGAAAGAGACGTCGTTGATGTATCGAATCTTTGCTGGTAGTGAAGATGTGCAAATCTTTGCCCCCGGATACGACCCGGAATGCGATCTTGGCTTCTCGGGCGTGCCCGACATATTCCGGCCCAGCCATGTATCGAAAGATGTATCTCTCAACGATCCTAGGAGCGACCATGACAACAGCATTTTCGAGTTGTATGCGGATGTTATCTCGGTCATGAAGATCCTGGGGTATCAAGCTAGAGACTGATTAGATTTCATTCTGTGCAATAAAGTACTGTAGGTGACGTACTCTACGAAGAAGCTGGTAGAACGCTTTTGGAAAAATCGAGTATCTCGAGCAGAGTAATGTGTTTCACCGGACGGGAAAACCTTCCTTGTACAGAGTTCGGAGAGTTTCCGTGTCTCTAGGTTCAACGCACCCAACAGGGTATTCAGCTTTTTTAAATCCGATGCCGTGATAGCCAGAAGTGGTGCAACACCTTCAAAACTTTTCTTAAAGATGGCATGATCAGCTATGAACCATGTCTGGTCTTCAGCGGATGCTAAGTCGCAAGGGCCCTGTCGCTGTACGCGGCCACGGACAGGAAATATGGTGCGATGACCCAGGGGTTTGACAGCTAGTCTTACTTTGATGGGCGATATAGTGTCTAGCGATGTGCTGATACGAATGAGTAAGTCCAAGATCTGCTGCAATGGCCACAAAGTACTGATAGAGGAGGTCTGCTTGATAAGAGCGCTGATATCGTCTGTGGCGCTGCTCAACAGCCACAGAAACATAGTCCTGCATCCCGGATATCTTCGCAGAACTTCGTCTTGATTTCTCATGGCCTTTTGGATCGTCCACCAGGTAGGCTCATCGCCGCGAGTAGCTCGTCGGCCCATGTAGATCAGGGAGCCATCTTCAAAGGCTAAACTACAAATCCATCAGTACAACGACGTTGGATGGATCGGCATTTGGCTCGTGACATACTGTACTGCATTCTCATCATTCAGGAAGCGCGATTGAATCTGTTCATATAGATAGGCAAGTATGTCGTGTTCCGGTGATGCCTGATGGCTCACAGCCTGCAAAGAAATCAGATAGTAATGAAGATCGTTCGTGACGGCGACGCCAAAGCATGCCAGTCTACGTCTCAGGGTGCCATCTCTGGAGTTTCCTATCTGCAGATATCCCAGTGGAATATCCATGGCGTCCACGTACGTATCCAGGTCTGGAAGGACCATCTCACGTAACGGTACTTGACCTGAGCGACCCATGACTTTGACCGCTCCAATCTCTTCTAGAAGACCCTTGTTTGCGGTAATTGCATCATGCGACTTTTGCTGCTCGGCACTCAACTCAAGCCACTCCGCATAGGTAGTCCAATGTTCGTTGAGGAGTTGCAACACGTCTGCAAGCAAGCACACTCTGAACAAGAACTTGAACTCTTTAGACAAACGATATCTATCCCCAAAGATGCCCTTATGTATGGACACCAAACGTGGTATGGCTGAAAGGTGCAGCGTCTTGATCATATATTGTCGCCAAGATTGCAATGCACTCGACTTCGATCCGTCTGTCTGCCGATTAGAACGTCTTTGAAAGATAAAGTCGAAGTCACGCGACAAATCCGTATAGTCGTCATGGATCGTTCGAGCCGCAGGAGCCGTATGTTGAAATTGGCGCAAGGTGGGAGATTTGGTCAGAAGGATTTGTCCAGCCATAAGGCTGTCTTCAGCAAAGAACTCGTCATCAATGTCGAAAACAAGCTCTGCTTGACCTGAAAACTCGAAGTCATGCTCGTAGAGTGGGAAATCAGTCTCGTCAACCTCGGTCACAAGACCAGTGGTAGGAGTGCTAAGATGTAACACTGAATATGTCGCAAATGGACTGCCAAGGCTGTCTGCTAGTTGCACCGCTTCGTTTGAGGTTGGAGCAAGGAAATAGTTGTCGTGGACGCTTGAGAATCTATTCCGAAGTTTGTTGAAGACTCTGGCCATCGCAGAATCTGCATCGCATTCCCCTCGGATGTATGTCTGCGAACCCTTGCATCGTCCACCATCTGAAGTGGCGAACCACAGGTCTACTGTTGTCCAATCAGGAGGTGTCCACGAAGATTTGAACAAATAAATCGCGTGAGAGATGAGTTCGGCCCTAGTGAACCTTTCCGGGTGAAATGATTTCGAAGCATGGGCATCTGCGATGTGCTGACATAGACGGCCGCTGTCAATTTGCATAATCCCCAGAGCTTGTAGAAGAGTCTTCCTACTATGGGTTCGAGACACCGCTGGGTCAACGATGGATAGCCCAATGCTACGGGGAAAATTTGCTGGGTCGAGATCATCTGCGAAGAACACCGGTGCGGACTGGCTTGAGGTCCATGTGCCATCGTGCAATGATATGATAGGAAGGCGTACCAGCTTTTCCCTCAATTCTCCATTTTGCGTAAGCGGAAGTAAGGCTTTCGAAAGTTCTTGGTGCCAGGTGCTGTTCTGCGTACGGAATAACGACGCATTATTCTCAATCATCGTTGTGAGGTCCTCCAAGAAATCAGTATCGCTCATCGCTGATACTCCGAGGGATAAGACTGATTCGATAGTCCATTGAGGGTACTGGGCTGAGAGATACTTGCTTGCTGTCTCTGGGCAAAGAGTGAAGGGTTTACCAGAAGAGTCTGCGTACTTATCCGGATGAACATAGACAAGACTAGACGGCCTCGCCATTGAAGCTGCAGAAGATTCCAAGACGCTTTCGCAATGTAGCCGCGTTGATATGGTATGCCTAGCAGGCAAGAAGAAGCAGGAAACGTCGCTGTTTGGAACGTAGAATGGCCAGGAGTATTTTAGAGGTCCTCCATTGAAGTGGCCGACAGCTGCTAAGAACCCGTCTGCTAAGCCGTCTCGAAGCCTTTGGTTCCACGGCAGAGACTCATCAATGTTCGAACGGCTTGCTGTAAGAATGAAGTCACCGTTGAGCAAGAACTATCATCGGCGATTAACGGACCGATCCTGAAATTCAAAAGCGGGGTATAATTACCTTCAAGCCATACTCTCGGATGGGGAGTAGTGCGAATACTTGTTGACGAGCTGGCATTGGTTCATCAGAGAGACTTATGATTGGCAACGCGAAGCTAAGGGCCGATGACGATATATGTAGCCTTCTTGGGTCTAGAGGGAGATCTTTGACGTGGTGCTCAAATGTCGCAAAGTGCTGTTGAGTACTGCCAGTGTCCAATGTCGTTGTTGTGTTCATCCCGTCCGATCTAATTTCTTTGAGAATATCTTGTGACCACTCGTAACCATCGTTTTCAAGGACCTTGATACATACTCTCCTCACTCTCCGTAAGAACAGCAAAAGACGAGGGTCGAAGTCTTTCAACTGTATGACCAATTCTTCCTGATTGTACTCCTCCGCCAATTTGAGAAAGAACGATGTCACACCAGGGATGACCGGTCTCGGAAAGTCAGCCCACACGGGGGCTATCATACCAAGCCTTTGGTATTTCTCAAATTTGAACCTGTATTGGCGGGACGATATCCAGACTTCATCCGCAATACGGTAGACGCTTTTAAAGCCAATGCCTTTCTCTCCGGTATAGCCATGAGAATGTTTGCTGCCGCTTTTGGTGCTGTGGCGGACAGTTGATATTGCCTCCACATGGTTTGCT